CACTGAGTGTGTGAGTGTGAGTTAAAAACACTTTCAGTCTCTGGTAACCTCAGGCATAAAACAGATTTTTAAAAACAGTTTGAAAAATAATTGTGCTTTCATCTGCATCTCTCTTCCTCAATCAAAATATCTAAGTACAAAAAAGAATTGCCTCCCAGAGTTTCAAATTTAAGGCAAAACTGCTAATATAAACAGCATATATTCATTCAGGTAGAATCAAATATTCACGTTATACACAAACACCTCAATATTCCTTCAGTTCAGATATATTGATCAAGGATGAATACATTTTTTTTCATTTATCTTTATTGTTGAACGTATTACAGATGTCTCCCTTTTTTCCCCCATTGACCCCTTCCACCCTGAATACATTTTAGAGTTAAGAGCAAAAGAAACAGCGCAGCTAGATCCAGGTTGAACAAGGAAAGAAATCTACATGGAAGCGCCACTGTGAAAAAGCAGCATGTAGGCCCTCTGCCATTTAGTTCACATTTAGTGAGTGGAATTTAAGGATACAATGTTCTTTATTTCCTCATAAAGTCAAGGCATTTTGAGCAGGACAGACACTAGTGCTTCAAGAAACTGAAAAAAACTAAAACTATGGGGATGACCTCACTGGTCTCTGTCTAGGGTAGGCTCACCCTGTTTGGAAGGGTCCTGTGATGATCCCAAAATAATATGTCAAATGAAATTTGATTTGTAGGTTACAATTAAGCCTCTTCTTTGCCCTGAAGACAATAGCTACTATCACAGATTTCTCCTGTGTTTATTCTCTAGATCTAACCTATTTCTCACTCTGTACACCAGGGAAGGCAGACACATTGATTTGTGGATTTATTTCCAGATTACTATTCTGACTTCCCAGCCTGGAAAAGAGGTGGTCAAACAATTGGAGAAAGGATTGAAAGACACAGACCTAGTCAGGGTCAGGAGGCTTCAGGTGGTTGAGATCACGAAGGAAGCCCTAGAATATACAGATTCAGCATCCCCTATTGAAGAGTCCAGCAATGATGGTAAGAATTAAATGGAAAGATAAAAAGAAAGTAAGAATTTTAATGAGCACTGTTTTACAGGTCAGGAAGGTTATTTTCCATGGTCTTTTTATGTTCTTAAATAAAATGAAGCCAACAGATTTCACTGTGGGTCAGACATGTGTTTCTAGGTGTTAGAGTTAAATTATAATCATATTTTTAATTTCAGAAACAATATATGTTCATGTAAAGCCTGAAATATAATAGGTATAAAAAGTAAAAATTATTTCCTCCTCTAATCACTTTTAAGAGATTCAGGTATTCCTCCCAACTTTCCTTTAGATCAGGCATGGGGAACCTTTTTGCTGCCAAGGGCCATTTGGTTATAACATCATTCGAGGGCCATACAAAATTATCAGCTTAATAATTAGCCTGCTATATTTGGTCAAACATTTAATTAATTCACCCCTAATGCCTTGGCAGGGCCAGACCAAATAATTTTGTGGGCCTTATATGGCCCACCAGCCAGATGTCCCCCACCCCTGCTTTATTTTTTTTAATTAAATCTTTATTGTTCAGATTATTACATTTGTTCCTCTTTTTCGCCCCCCATAACTCCCCTTCTCCCAGTTCCCGCCCCACAATCCGCCCTCACTCCCCACC